AGGATCATGACCTGAGCCGAAGGCAGTCGCTTAACCAACTGAGCCACCCAGGCGCCCTATTTATTATTTTTTTAAAAGATTTATTTGAGAGAGAGATAGAGAGAAAGAGCACATAAGCAGGGGGAGCAGCAGGCAGAGGGAGAGGGAGAAGCAGACTCCCCACTAAGCAGGGAGCCTGGTATGGGGCTCAATCCCAGGACCCTGGGACCATGACCTGAGCCGAAGGCAGACGCTCAACGGACTGAGCCACCGAGGTGCCCCACAATTATACGATTTAAAAAAATACACAGTAAAAAATAAAAAGTAAAAAAATACATGGCAGAGGTCTACTTCTTTAGGTCCACGTTTTGGTCAATATCTTATTCCATTTCTGTTCTGCACATTTCCTGGCCTGAGTATAAAGAACTGCTTAAGTATTCATTTATAGTAGTATTTCAGTTATCCTGTGTAATTTCAATTTTTTGACAGCTTCAACTATATTAAGACAGTCCAATTCCTGGCTAGAATAGACTCTCATAAATAGTTAAATGAATTAATGGAAGAGAAGTTTCAAAAGCAATTTGAGGAGTGGTTAAGGTCTTGGGCAAATTAGCTTCTCTAAGCTGCAGTTTTCCCATTTAAAAAATTAGGGTAATAAACATATAGTTATATAGTTCACAGGGCTGTTTTCAGGACTAAGATGGTGAGCCCAGTACACTATCAATTCCTATTTTGAAAAAAGGTTAAATGATCAGTATACTAATTATAAAGACAGGAGGCATATGTTGTACTTAAGAGAGCTAAAAGGAAAACTGGTCCAAATATTTAAAAGTTTGCGACTGAATGCAGTTATGTGAAATTTTCGGGAGCCAATCTGGTAAGGAAGCATTACTGTACTTACTTCTTAATGTGGTACCGTCTATATCTGGGTAACACTTAGCAAACGTATGGGAAAATGACATACCATAGGAACATCTTCCTCCTATTTAAAACTTAACCGACATCTCTTTTCATGTTACTTCAATATAAATACTGCGTTTTAATAACAGAATTCTTTCATTAAATACATGGCTACCTGTAATGGGGAAAAAAACCAAATACTAAAGTGCCTAACAGAATCTATTAATTTAGAGATGATATTTTACATTTCATTTAGCTGATTACACCCTAAGTAGTATCTTGGGTGCACTTCTAGGCTAAATATTTAAATAGCATTTTACTTATAAATGGTTTGTCACTTCAGTCATTCACATACAGTCGGTAAATACCTAGGCTGTGATACAAAGGCCGCCCTCTAGTGGTTCTCAGGAGCCTAGGCTTATATATATTAAAAATTCCTCATCACTTGTTTTAGAGTAAACCTTAGAGAGTAGAGGATGCCTTTGAGAATTTACGCAAGGAGCCGATCTCTGAAAAACTGTACACGCTAATTTTTGCATTGTTGGGTAGTTCGCGAAGCCCTAGAAAGTCCTTCAGTGGGTCTCAGAATAAGAACGCCGGAGAAGGCTTATCTAGTTGTTTTCAATGGACCGGTAACACCTATACAATAGAGTAAGAAGTAGCTAAGCAAGCAATAATTAAAGCCAGAATTTAAAATGCATTTTTACGTGCTAGACTCTCAATCCAAAATAAAGCTTCACAGGATCCTGGCTCATACGGTGGCCTCAAGACGTCACACTTACTTCAAAAGCAGAATAATCCGGGGCTGTCAGGTAGCTCAGGTAGTTCTTGGTAGGTCGGTATCTGCGGGTTTCCTCCTCCACCAGCGCCGCAGCCTAGAAACGAGAACAGGGGCCAGGGTAGAGGTAGCAACTTCTAAGGTGCTTCTTCCAGCACTCAGGGCCCGAGAGCGCTGAGTCAGCGACCCAGCCCGAACTTACCGCTTCCCGCACACCCGGCGCTTCGTAACCTTGGTCAAAATACGGCAGCGCATCTACCACAACCTCTCCGGCAACTAAGCCCGTGCCCGCCATTCTTAGGCTTGCCGAAACTTTCTGAGTCTGCGCACACTCAGGCCCATTTCATTACGCCTGCGCTCGCTCTGACGTAATACACGTCGCTTGTGCATTCGCTCTAGCGCATGCTCAGTTGTCAATTCTGAAGGCGCCCTCGCCCAGCTACTAGAAAGTGCCCGGCCATTTTGTTTTGGTCGGACGTGATGTCACGTCGCGATTTCCCAGAATCAGCGGAACGTCTCCATTTCCTGTCCTCCTGTGTGCTCCGCTTTTTTGCCTCCGACCGGGAGTAATTTGGAGGGGCATTGGGACTTTTCGTTCCCTGCAGGAAGCTGGTATCTGGAAGGGGAATGCTTTTTAAAAAACTTTTGGAGGAAACTGGCGGCAGGATTCGGTAGGGAGAGGGATACTGGTTTCATACTCCCCTAACCTTCCACCTGCAACCCTTAACTTTTCTCTCTCTGGCGGTTTTTCTCTCCCGTTGCGCTACTTGCTGTACCCCCCACTATAGTTTTGAGAACATTTGCATTCGATAAATGCAGTTACTTCACAGATTCTGGAAGTCGGAGCCGATCGCCAGTTAAAATTGCGAAGCTTTAGGGTCTCCGTAACAAAAGGAACCTGATCTTTTCCTCCAAGGTGAGATTAAAAACTGCCCACCAATTGCAGCTTCAACAAAATCCTGTCATTTTGCCTTCAGCGCGTATATAAAATCCACTCATTTGCCTTTAGGACTTCCGGGAAAAGACTAGTGTTCCTCCTTGCCTCCCAACCACTCCTGCTGCTGCCGGGGCGCCGTCTCTGGTCTGTGTCCCCAGCTCCCTTTCACTAAGCGGGCCAAGGCCAAATAAGGTAGTCGGACAATACACCCTGCCCGGTGTATGCGATCTAGACCCAGGCTTTGCCTGCCAACAGCCCGGAAATGTTGACCACCGTCATTAAGTCGGGTTAGTCTGCCACTGATTCGGATTGTCTTTTAACCTTATCATTAGATAAATGTGCTAGTTACAGATTTAAGCGAAGTAGAAGATCTTTACATCTTAAGCAACTTTATTTAAAATTCTCCAAGAGTTCCATGGAATTTTTGTGTTTATTCATTAAAAGATCTGTAAACAACACTTTATACAAATCTTGAGCAATATTTTTTTTTTACAAATATATCCAGAACTCATAATACTTTACAAAAACAAAATAAAACAGACCTAAGAAAAAGGAAGCAGCTTCAGGTCACGGGAATAAAATAAGACCCCCATCCCTGAAGCAAAGGTCTCCTCACAGAGGGACGGTCAAGATTCACCACCGTAAGACCTCCTACCCCCGTTTTATAAACAATTCCCAATTACTAATTCTTCCCTCAAGATTGGAGTGGCAAATGGACAGATGTCTGGTAAGAGCCCCACTGGGGTAAGATGCTTAATACACATTTTTTTTTTTTTTAACAAGACATAGGCTCAGTTCTATTTTCTAGACCTGTAAGAACTATATAGCACCGGTCTTAAATGGGGTCCGCTTCAGATTCATTCATGCACACCTGAATGGGCTGTAATGACAATACAACTCTAAACTGTCATAATACAACTTACAAGGTTTTGTTAAGCTCGAATAAATATTTTTATGCCAGTTAAAACCATCAGCAGGAATTGAAGAAAACTGACATCTGCTATAATATTTATCAATGAAAATCACACCATCACTGGTAAGTTCCTCCTTCTAATCAATACTACTATTTTAGATATTAAGGGTCAGGGTGATTATGTGGTGAGTGCCCAGGAATGTTCATAGTCTGAGTCCAATTTAATTAGGGCAAAAAGTCCTACAATTCTAGGGGAACCAAAAAAGAGACATCTAGGCACCTATAGTTTGAAGTCCCTTATCCTCAGAGCTGAAACTTGGCTCTGGTACACTTCAGCTTAAAAGAAAATTTTTTCAATAGCTATAATCCCACAGAGCTCAAATTTCCATCTGCAGGACTAACCAACTTTTTCTGTGCTCATCATGAATGGATAGTCCTGGCTTCAGTTCTGGCTCTGTTGTATAACTTTGGGCAAGTTACTTAACCTTTTAGAATTCCAGTTTCTTCATTAATAAAATGGAGATGAAAGTATCTCATGAAGTTGACTTAAAGACTGAATAAGATGACATACATGTACCATCACACATGGCACATGGGGGACACTAAGAAAAGGGGGGGTTCTCATGCCCTTGAAAGGATATTTTCCTGTTAGCTATAATCCCACGAAGTTTAATGTTGACAAGCTACTCAAGTGCCACACGATGTGGAGGAGGAGCTGCAAGGTGTCTACTTGTATAAGATACTCAATAACAGTGTTAATAAATAGGGCTTCCACATCAGTGAGATTCCCCCAGACAGAACATTAGACTAAAAAACAAAAACTGGAGATATATGAGGAGTATATTCCTTAGCTCTGCTGAAACAGCCCATAGGTGTCAAGCTGCTGTGGTATTTCAGTGATGAGAATGATGCGTGTAGGATGCATTCTGCACTTCTATCATGCTTCCTCAGTACCTTCAACTTAGCATTTCTCTCATTGTGCTCATCTTTGAGCTGTTTTTTAAAAAATGCAACACCAAATCTTTCCTTATTAAAAGATAAGTGCCTTCACAGACTAAGCACATAACACAAAGAATGAGCCCAAGAATTAAATACAAAAGGCCACTGAAAAAAAAATTGGAGGCAGAGTAATGAGAACATTGGTTCCAGACTACTCCCAATAATCCTCCAGTGATTACTACAGCAGCAACAGGAGAATCCTCCTCCAAGGACCTGGACTGCTTTGTAACCTTTTCAACTTTCCAGGATTTTGGAGGCTACTTCAAGGCATCCTGACTCTTGGAGAAGTATTTTCTTTGGCACTTTCTGTTCTATTTAAGATGGAGACAGTCAATCAAAGATTTCATTTCTTCTGCAGAAATTTCATTTTACTTCCTAAAGGGAGAGAGAAGTAGAGTGAACTCTCATTAGTTCATTTTTATTTATTGTACATTATTTGAGGCAAGAGATTAACACCTTAGTCATTCTGAACAGCCCAGGAGTAAGCTGCCATCTCAAGCTAGCAGGTGATGTGTTTGACTACCAAATAAATAAACGAACCCTATGTGTCTAATTGTAGAGGTAAAAGAGAACTCAGACATCACCTAATCCAGTGGCTTTCAGCCTTGACTATAGGTTAAAATTGCTGGCCTGATCCCCAGAGATTTCTTGGAGCCTGCAGTGGGGAAAATTTTCATTTACATTCCCCAGAGATTAAAATATTGTAATAGGAGTTCAGGACCACCAATTTGATCTAACATCATGGTATAAAGATGAAATAACAACCCAAGGCATAATTTGTCCATGGTCTCTCAGCTATTTAAGGACAATGCCTTATTTTAATTAGGGGCATATATTTCTTTTTCTTTTTGTATTGAAGTATAATTGACATACAATGTCCTATTAGATTCAGGTGTACATCATAGTGGTTTGATATTTTTATACATTACAAAATGATCCCTACGATAAGTCTAGTTACCGGGGGTACATATTTCAAGAACCCATATAAACATCATGGAACATAGTTCTTCATTATTTTGGGCTACCACATCACCGTTCTCCAATATCACAAAGGATAATAAAAAGTTAATTATTATAACTGAAAAATCATAAACATCTGTGTTTCTTTCTGACGTGTAAAATTAGACTTGTAGAAATCTTTTGCCTCAGATGCCCTTTTCTAAACCAGGTGTTTTTAATCTGGAGTCCACGGATGGGCTTCAGGAAGGTCCATGAATACCCTATAATTATATGCAAATTTTTATGTTCTAAGCATACTTTTCTGGGAAAAAGATCCACAGTTTTTATGAGATCCTCCCAGTGATGTGACCTAGAAAAGATTAATAATTATGATATGCAAATTATCACATTATCTGAGGAAAACAGACCCAAGGACAACTCTGATGGAGAATCCCGACCTCTGAGAAAGACTTCTTTTTCTCCAAAACACTTTGGAAGTACAGTCATGGTTTCTGGTCAGCCTATTTGAGGTTATACTGTTGATTTGATTATAAAGTTTTGTGATGAGGCACACTTTCTGCAAAAGGTTTTTTAGTCACATTATCTAACAAGAAAGCACAACAACTCACCAAGACTCCGCAAAATTTTATTCATCCCACTAGGCTCAGACTCTGGAATTGTTTCCAAATACTGAAGGGCCCGGACCTCAAACAAACCTACAAGGAAAACTCATGTTGATGAAATTGTCCAATACTTTCTAAAAATCACTTAAATGAAACTCTGTGCTGGGCACCTGGGTGGCTCAGTTGGTTAAGCAACTGCCTTCAGCTCAGGTCATGATCCTGGAGTCCCAGG